TATATTGATTTATGATTATTTTTACTTTTAATGGTTGGGAAGACCTAGAGACACTAATCTGAATTACTAAAATAATTTCTTCTCAAGGGTTGACAGTAAGAAAACCATCGCAAACATGATGAATAATATATATATCATTTTTTTTTAAGGTATCATCTATGTTTATTATAAAATGGACATTGTGGCATATCTTTTTACAATGTGGCCATGTGGGCTAGTAGTCTTGTAACTTGGCTATTATTAGACCAGAGGTCTTGATTACGAATCCAATTTGAAGAAAACATAAAAATGTTTTTTTTTTCTATCATATCTTGCGCAGTTGAAAGCTACATATAGTATTCGAAAGTTGTCTCGTCCTGGTCAAAATTGTGGGACCTCGTCACATTGTATTTAAATTACTTTTCAAGTGAGGATTTAGACATGCAGTGAATCACAAATGAAAGTCATGCTTATCCTGTAGAGGAACTCCCCTAATTCAACATTTATGCTTATTTGTATGTAAGTGTTTCAGTAGAGTAAAGTATAAATTAATTTTTAAAAAGTTTTAGACTGTTTAGGATTTTACTACAAATCATATTAAACAACATCCTACACTATATTAAATAGCAGCAAACTGTCCCTGTGTTTCGATTGTTTTCATTCCATGTAAGTCTTCAGACTACATTTTGATTCTTAATTAAAATAGATGCATCTATGGACACCAAACTGTTGGACCTTCTACTGACCTCTCATCCGGACAGATATCAGGTCTCCGTCGATGTCCCTCTGGGCTCTTCGGACCATTGTCTGATCCGGAGTACGGTCCCACTCACGCTCCCATCGCAGTTGCGATCTGCAGCTTGCCGCCGTGTTTGGCACTATAGGTCGACCGATTGGGACGGGATGCGGTCTTTTTTTGCATCCTACCCTACTGGGGGCGGGTTTGCTTCTAGCTGGATGATTCCAACGTTGTTGCTGATTCTGTCGCTGATGTGGTACTTCAGGGAATGAAATTATTTATTCCATCATCTGTGGTGCCTATCAGAGGCAGAAATCAGCCATGGTTTGGTCACTGTTGTAAAATTGCATCACGCTATAAGCAGAAGTGCTACCGGGCCTGGGCTGACGCATCAAAGTCTCGGCATGTAAGCACCAGCGCTCTTAAAAAGAAGTATAATTCCGCCTCCAGGTCTTTCAAAAGTGTCAATATGCCAAGGGCATTGACATCGGCAGAATTGGCGAGAAATCAGTTCGCCTCCCTTCGGGAACACGTGCATTCTGGTCTCTCGCCAAGGCTGTCCAAGGGAACTTCTGTCAGCCATCTCTGTACAGGGTGGACGACTCACTAGCCCTCGCCGCAAAAGAAAAAGCCGATCTGCTAGGCTCTCTTTTTGCTTCCAACTCGACTCTAGATGACGAGGGGAACACAGCGCCGAACATCCCGGAGTGTGAGTGCTGCATGCAGGGAGTGCTGTTTACACAGCGCTCGGTGCGTAAAGCACTCCTCTCCCTGAACGTCAACAAGTCGTGTGGGCCTGATGTAGTCCCACCTATTGTGCTGAAGACGTGTGCTCCGGAGTTGGCACCGGTTTTAACGCGTCTTTTCTGGTACTCCTACTCCCTAGGCGTAGTCTCGAACTCATGAAAGACAGCTTTGTTACACCCGGTCCCTAAAAAAGGCGACCGCTCAGATCCGTCCAACTACAAGCCTATCGCTATCACCTCCTTGTTCTCCAAAAGAATAGAAACTATTATTAACAGCCAGCTCATGCAGTACCTTGAGGATCACCAGCTGATTAGTGACCGCCAGTACGTTTTCCGTCGAGGTCGCTCAGCTGGTGATCTTCTGGGTTACCTAACTCATAGATGGGCGGAGGCAGTGGAGTAAAAGGGGGAGGCGTTGGCGGTTAGTTTGGACATAGCGAAAGCTTTCGATCTGGTTTGGCACAAAGCGCTCCTTTCGAAGCTGCCTTCCTATGGGCTTCCCGAGATATTGTGCAATTGGATCACCAGTTTTCTTGCAGATGGGAGCATCAAGGTCGTAATAGACGGTGCATGCTCCGATTACAAGCCCATTAACGCTGGTGTTCCACAAGGCTGCGTGCTATCACCAACGCTGTTTCATCTGCATATCAAAGATATGTTGCAAACCAGTAATATTCATTGCTATGCGGACGACAGCACTGGTGATGCTTTATACACCGGCCGTGCCAATATTTCTCGGGAAAACGTCGGCGAGTACCGGAACAAACTTGTGTCTGTTTACCGGTAAAAAGAACCCCTTTGTCGTATCTCTTCAGTTTCACTCCTCTTGTTGCCTCAGCTAGTATCGGAATCCTTGGTGTCGCCATATTGAGTGACGTGCAGTTTCGTGGTCACTTGGAAGAGAAGGCCAAATTGTCCTCTAAAAAGCTTGGCGTGCTCAGCAGAGCGGGACAGTATTTCATGCTCACACACCTCTTGCAACTTTACAAGGCGCAGGTTCGGCCTCACATGGAATACTGTTCCCATCTCTGGGCAGGGGCTCCCCAGTGCCAGCTCCTTCCACTTGACCGCATCCAGCGCAGAGCGGTTCGAATCGTCGACGACCGAGTTCTTTCCGATCGGCTTGACTCACTGGCAGTGCGCAGAGATTTTGCATCTCTTAGCGTATTTTATCGCATCTATCACAGGGAGTGTTCTGAGGAATTGTTCGGACTAATTCCAACCGCTCAATTTCACCATCGCACATCGCGACAAAACTCGCGATACAATCCATACCATCTGATTGGTTGTCCACCACTGTGCGATTTAGAAGAAGTTTTCTCCCTGGCACAAATTCCTTGTGGAATCGATTACCACCAGCGATTTTTCCGGACCGATACGACTTAGGGACCTTCAAAAAAAGCCTACTCCTTTTTAAAAGGCCGGCAACGCATCTGCAATCCCCCTGGTGTTGTAGCTGTTCATGGGCGGCGGTAGTCACTTACAATCAGGTAAGCCGCATGCTCATTTGCCTCCTCTCCTATAAAAAAGAAACCAGCATCCACTTATCAATTTGGTGGACTGTGTGCTCGTCGTTTTTCATCCTTATTTATATAAAAATGCGTAATTGTATGGTAATATCATGCAATTGTAAAATGGAATGTTAAAATATGATCGATATGCTTTCTTTTTGTATCTGATTTTAATAAACTTCAGACTGATTTTTCAATCTTCAGGTCAAAGTTATTCGTAGTATAAAATACAACATAAACAAGTTAAGAATTACAGTTATATAAATTAAGTAGTTCAATTGTTTTACTTTTGTATACAGTCAGGTTATAATTTATTTGCTGGATAACTTTTATCCGAACATTGATAAATCTGCTAGACTATAAACTTAACTGCATAAAATAACTGTTATTTTTAAATAAATGTCATTTTTAAAACAATTTAGGGAGAAAGGAACGTCATTGCGGCTTGCAGAAAAAGTAATAAGACATTAAATTTGAACTAGACCACTAACATTTAGGGTACTTAATATATGAAATGGCATGATCCTCACATATATTCACAAAAGTACCCACAACTTCTTCAAGATCACTTCTACTTTAAATGAGCGTATAATTTCATTTCTTACGAATTACGCTCGTGTAAAAGCCACCGCATCACTAGCAGACCGTATATGTATATTTAAAAAAATAGCACGGTTTTGGGCGACCACTGACTTGTTGTAGTAATGAGCTGATGAACCATGCGGCAATGGTTGCAGGTGGTTAAGGACCATGCTTTGTAGGTGAGAGCAATGCTTAGTAATAGACTTGCAAAACATTTGGAGACAAAGGGACTGTTCAGACGATGATGATAGTGATGAATAAATACTGTCCATTATTCCTCCATTGTTTTGCATTTTTAAATGTTTCACATCACTATACTATATATGCCATATTATTACAGTCATTAAAAAGTCCATTGCTGAACCTAGGCCTATCCCATAAATTGCCTCATACGGAGGAAATTTGCCATAGAAGCCACGCTTGGCAAACGCAGTTTATTATTTTTATTCATTTCGCTGTTTATTTGCCATCTGTTTCAGTTTACAGTCGCCGCTTACGACACCCACGGGATGATATGGGATTGTGGATATTCTTACACCGCCCACTACACGGCTTCTCTCACAACATCATCGGCGCTAATTTTTCTACATACAAAATTAATTATAATATTTGTAAGTAAATCTATACTTATCAGTAAGAATAAATCTGGTGACTGAAGGAATGACTCTGTCGGAAGTACTAGTGTTGTTATTACAAATATTAATAATTGGTATTAGATAATAAATAAATAGTGGTACCAGATTACATACAGCCTTTTTTAAGGATATCGAAGAACTCTATGAAAATATCGTCAAAATTTCATCAGTTCAAATTTTCTATGATTGCCATGTCAGTGTATATAGAATAACATATTAAAAAATTATAGCTTTAATATATAATACGCACCTGGGTGATCAACCGACCTTCACACGGTGCGGTGTTAAAAAACAAGATAAATTTGATTTAAATGAAAAAAAATATTAATAAGCCTTAGAGCTGTTTTTTAGGAACCAATTACTTATGTATAAACATATACGTAAATAAATATACACGTATATAAAGACCTTTAAGATTAATTTAAATGTAGAATTCTGAATAGCAAGACGCTAAAGTACTTAAAAAAAAACGGATACCAATTTCATATATGTAGTTATATATATCATAATGCGAAATAAAAGTAAAAAAACAACAATATATAACATGAAGTATTAATTATATCTATCTATTATCATTTCTTGTCAGCCTCTTTCTAATGTCATTTAGTGAAACGAGGGAGAGCAACTTAATGCATTTATTTTCTTAAATTGAGGTTAATTTTCAAGGGTAAGGCTGACGGACTTTATAGTTGGTAATAACAATAAATGTGATTACGTACCTACCAAGACTCTTTGATCAACAAAAACAAGTGTTATTACAACAAAAATATCTCGACGTTATCATCGTAAAAACTATTCTTGAAACATGCTAACTATGGTTATGAGTGCCGTAAGTCTTAACGACAACTCCATCGACCGTCGTCAAAGAAGCATTGCACTGGAGCCGCCGCTTCCGTCCGCAAACCCAACGGGTGACGACGCCTCGACTCCGCTCCTTTGTGAAGTTCACTCCTTCGAAGATAATCATCGGGTTTCCACGACAAGATACAACGTATTCAATATCTGTAAATTTCATCAGAGACAGAGCTAAGTGCTTAAGGATGTGTACTTGTTCAATTTATATTTATTACATGATAGCGGAGTGCAATGAAAAACTGTAATGGATGGTCTACGCGTATACAACGCCATCTAGCGTATATTCAGTGAGGCATTTCACCACGACGAGGGGTAGCTACATGGTTTCAGAAAGTAACGTAGAGTTTACACAACGATGGCGCTGATTCTGTTTTCGTTAATATTACTTTTGAATAACCAATAGGTATTCTGCTAATTTTCTAAAAAAATAAATAATGCTAATATAATTTACACCACGTGAAATAAATAATGAGATTTGCATTAATGCATTTTACCACACCAATTATATTGTTGTGGTAAAATGTGTGTGTGTTAGCCTAATAAATAAATAATATTTGTAGTAAATAATTGATCTAAAATGAGTATTAGTAGAAAAAAATATGCATGTAAGTATTTCAGTGATGTTATGTTGAAGCATTTTCATTTTATTGTTACCCTCTAAAACCTCCCATAAGTAGACTAGTATGCACGTAAGTGGAACACCAAGTAACGGATTTCTTGATGTGAATGTGCTCATACAACAGGTGATAGCTCGGCGGCATTCTCACGGAACGATACACACATCTCTGCAATTTCTATACATTTTTTTCTCCAAGAAACCCACGTGATGTTATCTTTCCATTATAAAAGATTTAACGTAGGCTGCCGTTAAAATGAAAACCTGCGAATAATTATCAGTTTGAATAAGAATTTGAAATATAAACGAACAATTACTGCAGCTTCTACTTGGTGAAATACCTTAACATTATAGTAAAAGTAAGAATCGCAAAGAAGTAGATAATATTTGCAATATTAGTTATTATAATAGTTTATAAGTGTTTGATTACTTGCGTTACTCATAATATATATTCATAATTGTTGAGGCTGTCCAACCTGAAAACCGACTGACGCGACTTGTGTGTAAATGACGGACAAGGAAAAATTATAATTGTAAAATTAATGACATTAAAATAAAATTATAATTAATATTTCATTTCCTTTGAAGACGTCAATACCAGACCGTTGAATAATATAATAAAACGTAAATTTACGTTAAGTTACATTTTTAATGAGTATCTAAGGCAAGTTGTAGCCAACTTCAATGCTATATAAGAAATTTACGATACGTTTTAAATAGTAATATCCGTAACGTGAATTTCTAAACGTTGAAGTTGACTTGTCTTAAGTACTTATTAAGAATGTCGATATACGGGTAAGGCCTGTGAGAAAGTAACTTCATCAAGCCCACAAACCGCGACTACCCGGCATTATTTAACGACGATATTATACACTGTTAAAGAGTGGTAATGTTCAATGATCAGATACTGAGAAATTAGCTTATTTACTCTATATTATGTAAAAAACATTTATACATTATGCCTCTTGACATTGTCTCCCACTCAAGTAACACACTTAGATATTCATAGAGATGTCTATAAAATATATCAATGTATCAAACATTTATTTATAAATAAATATTTAAACTAGCGTTACCGACATAGGCCATTGGATCAGTAAACAGAAGTGGTAATGGCTACAGTCAGAAGAACCGACAACCGAAAGAGTATAAAGGTTATCGAATAGTAGCCTCGCACCGGTAAGCAAAATATAGAGTGGAGTGTGAGACATGCAGAAAGTCGATTGATGCACTTTTATCAGTATGTTAGTAATTGTGATAAAATCTACCAATAATGCAAGGCATGCACGTACAGTTTTAAATTAGACAATTCTATTTTGTGATATTCCTTGGTGCTTGGGTTCAGCAGACAACTTGTGAAAGCATGTAATGGATGGATGGAAATAATAATAAACTGCTAAATAAAATATGTGAACGTTGAAGCTTGCACTATAGATAGAATTCCGGAGTCGACCATTATCGCTACTATCGATAATACTTTTAGTTTAGCAACCGACATTAACAATTTTCGATACTTAAGAGGGTATTTATAAAAATTTGGTCGAATTATAAACCTCCTCCTGACTTAAAGTCGTCTAAAAATAGTATTGTTACTATAAAACCACTATCATCATCATCAGTACAGTTCGTCTTTATCATCGTTCTTCCTACATAAGTCATCAATGGCCTTAACCACTGTAAGCCGCCTCCACATATAGGTGCAAAGCACAGTCTTGAGTCGATTAATGCAGTGCATTCATTAACTTCCAGTGAGCCACATCAAGTCCTTAATCGGAAAGATCTTGGCGTGTCTCTTTAACGTTAGAATTCAGAATAAAGTTTCCTCCTAAACCTTACTACTAAAAAAAAATCAATATTTTAGAGTAAAACCTTCGTAATAGGTAACCGTTGAAATCAATCACTGTTTTCGGGTCTGGTTGTCTCGAATATCCCCGTGTCTATGCTCCATGACATCCAAGCCTATTTCCGGACGTGTATTATAAGCATTACATTATATACGGATGAGATAGGTACACTATAATGTATCCTGCGCAGTTGCAGCTCAAAGATGTCACCGTAGTCGTACTGCAGGTCTATTCGCTAATTTCGTTGATAAATCAAAATGATGGTCACCTTCTGGTACATTGCACCGTATGTTATGTAACTTTTCTAGAACTATTGTAGCACATAGAACGTACGAAGCAATGTACTAAAAAGGACTATAATTTCAACATATAGATAAAAATAAAAACATTTTCCAACGCTGAAAAATTGTTAAAATATAGTAAGTAGTGTTAATACTAAATTAAGTTTACTTATAACTTTTGGCGCATATATAGTTAGTATAGCCCTTTTTTATATACGAGTCAAAACTTTTTTTTTATCTCTTCAATCTCATTTCTATAGCTAAACGTGGGCAGTTATTATAACGGTATGGAAATGGTCGAGAAAGTTTTGATTTCAAAGTAATTATGCATTTCGTTCTGAATGCTTCTCACGTCCCTGTATTGTCCTTATCGTATACTTTTACACAATAGTGTAAAAGTATATGATAAGAGTAAGTGTATAATAATACATCACATTCATTTAAAACTTGTATAAACTATATTACGTATTGTAAATTAAAATACATCGAACCTCCCTATGATTTTCATACGACAACAAAAGACTAACAAAAAAATTCCGTTTCCAGTTTTCTATCTTTTAGTCCATCTAAATTTACAAAATGCACTTTCGTAAACCCAACATAAGAGTTAGTATTCCATTTCCGGTTAACTAGATACGGTGCCTACCTGCAGCGGGCCCTAGAACTTTGTAAGCGATTAAAGTATTTCATAAAAACCTTTTTTTATAGAAATGCATCAAAAGACAGGACGTCTAGACATTCCTTTTCAGTTCCCAGAACGAGCAGGTAAAATTCTGTATAATAGCACCCCACAATATCTACTCAGGGGTATCGTGATGGCTACATAACTAAAAATCACTACTTCATCCATATCTTTTATTAAAACAGGAAATCAATTTTGGCACATCAGTTTCTTCGGAGACAAATTTACAATAAATTAAAGCATATCATTACTGCAAGATCTCAAAACATGATATAATAACCACGTTATTTTGTACTATTTTGTAGTCACAATTTGAAGAACATTCATTAATCGTCTATACAATGTATATCGAAGAGACAATAACACTTAATTAAATGGCGAGAATTTCATTCGGCTTACATATATAACAGAATTGGTAACTAAATCCTACTTTAACAAACTGTCATGTATAAAACCAAAATTTTATCTACCTACATCGTTGAAATTTCATTAATTAACATAAATATATCACCGCGACATTAAAAAATTCGTTAATGACTTGACAACGTTATGACGTAAGTGACTTGACATTTTTGAAAGTCAATAAAATCTAGGAGGCCCCAAATATAAAGGACCATGAAGACTAGAGAGAACATACTTATAATTATGACTTACGATAAAAATAAACATTAAGAATTAATAATCGTTTTCGGTGGTATTACCGAAATTGCTAGATACTTTCGGCGGGTGTGTGTGAACAGGCGCCTGACCAAGCACCCTGTCGTGGAGTGTCAGGACAGAAGCGGGGCAGTTACGAGACTTGCGCGAGGAACAGTACCACAGGAGTCGGGCCTTATCCTGACGCTTCCTCGAGTTGATGAAGAATGTATTCCCGTCGTAATAAAGCAGTCTTCCGCCCCTGGCAGTCGTCAGATATCGCGCGTAACCTTGCAAGCACATCAAAACCGTTAAAATTGTGTATATTTGCCTTTATTTTCGACATCAAAATATATTAAAAACGTACCTAATATACCTTAAGAGGTTAAAAACAAAATGAACAATGCGACTCATTAATATAATTTATTTATTACTCTTTGTGTCCATGAATTTATACTTTATTTTCTTATTCCTACCGCAAAATATAAATGCTTAGGTACGTAAAGTAGGGGTACAAAGGCACGTAAAGATTTTTGCACTCCTACAAAGCAAGTGTAATCGGTGTAGGTGCTGAAATCTTTTTATATATTACTATATTACAAAAAGCATTACAAATACAAATAGGACGTCTGTTTTCATTTCTATCATTATAAAATCGATATATATATATGTCGTAAGAGTTTGCTAAAACCAGTCGGAATATGAAAAATGGAGACTCGATTTCATCATAATCCCGAGTAGATCCAGAATTATTGTAATGTGGATTTTTAGGATTAATATGAAATGAACATCGCTCGCAATCGAAGCGCAAGGATTTCCCGCCCTTTGTGCAGCCAAATGAAGTTATTTCAACGAGAAGGTGCCGTGGACATTTATATTATTTTTAAATTATTGTTACTACATACTTAATTCTACGTTTAATTAGAATTATTTTAATTCTTCAAAAATTCTTATTTTTAGGAACACGGGAAAACTATTTTAACAAACCCATTTCTAAACGTAATGTGTTATAAAGAATACTTAATTGCAGTACATTTCATCAATTCATCCTAAAGAAATCCAATAACTATTTTCAATCAAGGCAGTAACTCCAGTAAATCA